GCCTGCCCTCCCCCCTGCACCAGCCAGGCCCTGCAGCCAGGTGCAGTTTGTCACTTGGTAAGGACAGGGTCGTTTTCATGTCACCATCCCTTTGCCCACGCGGATCCCCTCCCCGAATGTCCCCTCTCATCCTTATGACCCAGAAGCCTTTGGGGACTCAGCTCAGGGGCCTCCCTCCTCGCCCCAAGGCCTGGGGGAACGGCCATGTCTGCAAGGTGCTGGGCCTTTTCGGGTTTCCTCAGCACTGAGCCTCCATCCGCCCTGGCGGTATCTCACCTGAGACACTGGCTCTGGAAGGCTGGGGCCCACAGTTCTGGGGGGGTGTCCCCCTTGTGGGGGTGAGCTCTGGTGGCACAGTGTGGCTTGAAAGGGGAGGTCTGTGATCTCCCAGCCCAGGGAGGGAGGCAGAGCACACAGCCCATCTATCTTGCTGGGAAATGCTGTGGGCCCTTGGGTGAGCCCGTTGACTTCTTAGTGTCCTTGTGTGCTCATCTATGACAAGGGGGGGTGCCAGGGTCATTGGGGGGTTTGGCTATAACCACGGCAGGTCACGGGCGGGGTTCAGTTGTAACCACGGCAGGTCGTGGGTGCTTTCAGTTAACTATAACAGGTATGGAACTAGGAGAGGAAGAGGCTCCGCCCAGCATTTGTCGTGTTTGGTCAGTAGTTGTTGCTGTGTACGCGTGATGTTTTCTGTGCAGCCCAGCTCCGGGCTTCCACACAGCGCGGGCGCAGCTGGCTTGTCCTGCACTCAGCGCTCGGAAGCAGGGGTCCCTTGGGGATCTGAGCCGGTGGTTCTGGCTAACCATAGATCCGGTCAGGTTTTCTGCAGAGTTGTGCTGTGGTTTGGGAGGGGTGTCCCTGACCCGGCGCTGGACCCGGAGCCCATTGTGAGCCTGACCGTTGACGTGTCTGGAAAGCAAAGGTCGGTCCCTCATCAGGAGCCTGAGTCCTTTGAGCTGGTGGAGTCCAGCTTCCGGTTCCTCTCCCAGGTCCAGAGGCATCACCTGCCGCCCCTGGCAACGGTGCGGGTGTGTTTTGGGGAACACGGTTTCCCTGAGCCTCACTCCTTGGTGTGATCCGGAACCCGGGGGCATCAGCCTCCCCAGGAAGGCACCTGGGAATGCAGAGCCTTAGGCCCCGGACCCCCGAGTCTGCATTTTCTCACTGCGGCCAGCTGATTGGTGGGCAGGTCTAGATAGAGCGGCACTGGTCTGGGCCAGGGGTGGGCAAATTATGGCTCCTCAGGCCGGATCTGGCCCTCTGCCTGTTTTGTAAATAAAGTTTTATTGGCACATAACCATGCCCATTTGTTTACCTCTTGGCTGCTTTCAAGTTATACACCGTGCAGATAGGAGCACTTGTGCCAGGAACCAGTGGAGTGGGCCTGTGGCCGTGCAGGGCCAGCTGGCCGTCTCCTGGGCTAAAACCTCAGTGCTCAAGCCTGGGTGCCTGTCGGCATCACCTGGAAATACACTGAGGCCTAGGGCTCACCCCGGGATTCTGAGGTGGCGCAAGCTCCCCAGGCGGTGTGTGTGCTGCCGTCAGGGGTGAGATCCTTGGTTCCGGATTGCCTGTGAGACGCAGCACGTGCGGGTCACAGCCGCGGACAAGAGGGCTTGTGTCAGCTGCCCTCCCGCTTGCTCTCCTAGGCCATCAGAGGCTTTAAGATCTTCAGACACTGAGCTGGCTGCAGCTGGGTGGGGGGGGGTGCTGAGAGTGGGGGCCCCCGTCTTGCCCCATAAACCTGCATGAAGGGAGCACCCCTACATCAGCTGCTGACCTCGATGCGGCAGGAGGTCAGGCAGACGGCCGCTACTATGCTGATGGAGCTCTCCCACTGGGTGGCACGTTTCAGACCACGGTGGACTCCCTGGCTCTGGGCTCCTGGCTCCTCCCTTTCTGCCCTTGCACTGGTGCCGTGCAGCTTGGGGTGCTGGCCACCCGCATGAGGGAGATGGCGGTCAGGTCACGAGATGCCAGGAGCCCATCAGGGGGACTATATGCCACAACTCCAGAGAGGCCTCCAAGGTGCTGAGCTAGTGGGTGTTGCTACACACCCCTCCTCCCTCACCCCTGCACCCCAGGCTTGATAAAGTGGAGGTAGCGGTGGCTGGCTCAGGGATCACAGCCCCAGGTGGGAAGTGATGGGAATGCTGGCCGGGCTGCAGTGTCTGCTGGGACTCCGAGCCTCCCCACGAGGTGAGCGCAGGGTGGGGGGGTGGGGGCTGGCCGAGGGGCGGGCGGAGGCGACTGGAGAGGGGCTGGGCATGGCCAGGGTTAACTTGGGCTAAGGTGGGATCCCGGCACTGCCGCTTACCAGGTTTGTTGTTTGGCCACTCTGTGCCTCAGTTTCCTCTTCCGTAAAGTGGGAGAGTGAAGGGGTTGGCAGAGGACATTATCGGGGTTCATAGAGCAGTGCGTGACATGTGGTGCTTCGGGCTGCATTGGGTGTTCCTGCTGTGGTGTGGATGGTGACTGGGTGGGGTGGCGATGGGCCCACCCAGGCTCAGGTGGGGCTCGAAGAGTCTTGGGGGCCAGGGCGGGCTAGGGGCAAAGGCCAGGGATGCCCAAAGATCCCCCCCAACCGAGGCCCCAGATTCTGGTCGGGGGTGGAGTAGGGGGAGACTCTGAGCGGGGCTTTGGGGATGAGGGGACCGTGCACGCTGCCCCTGGGCTGCCTGCTCCCCTCCCTCGGAGCCCCTGAGGCTGTGCCTCTCTGCACCTGCTCTCCTGACGTGCGGGATGGGAACGGTGGTCATTGCTGTCTCTGTCGGAGGTTGTTAAGGGTGTTAAACGGGAGCAAGGTGCTTGGTATGGCGCCAGGGACAGGGCGCCTCTGCGGACGGAACCCTGGTCACCACTCCCGTCCGTTTCCACTGTCACCGCCGCCAGAACTCGGGAGGGCCAGGAGCTGGTCAGCGGGGCATGCACAGCTCAGCGTGGGACGTGCAGGAAGCCCTTGGGAAATGCCGGCATCTTCCTAGTGGGGCTTCTCCAGGACTTGGGTGGGGGCACGCAGGGAGGCACTCAGCTCAGTGCGGGCGCAGGTGCGCCCCCCGGGCCTCAGCCTTGCTTAGTCGGGCGGCACGGGTGCAGGGCTGGGCCTCTGTGGGTGGGAGCCGCACCTCCTGGCCATGCTGGGGTAGACAGTGGCCTGCTTTGTGGCCCGGGGGTGAGATCCCATGGGACTTTGAGGTCCTACTGGCCCAGACCCAGGGGATGATGACAGGCGCTTTCCTGGTGGGTGGCCCGGTGTTGAGCCCATGTGGCCAGAAAAGGTTTGGGGTTGAGGCTGCTGCCCAGGCAGGAGTTTGGGTAGAGAAGCCGCTGAAGGCTGTGTTGGGAATGCCAAGCTTCTTGTGGTTGGAAAGCCCCAGTCCGGCCCCCGGCATCCGGTTCCCAGGTTTGCAGAAGTCAGCCAGTGTGACAGGTGGAGACGGTGGCCACGCCGGGTGGCCCACAGGGCAGGGCACCGCTCCCCCGTCAGCCTCGCTTTCTCCGGCCCCCGGAGTCTGCTCCCTGCCCCCACCGCCCTCCCAGGCAATGTGCAGAGGCCTCCCTCCCCACCCCTTGGAACAAAGCAGAAAACCTCTCTGTTCCTGCTGCCACCTGCTGGGATGGCTCAGGAAGAGCCTGTGCCTTTAGGGTGTGAGAGGTGAGAGGTGGCCGCGCCTCCCAGGCTGTGGTGAGTTCATGTCTGAGCGTTTGAGGGGGTGTGGTGGGGGGGGGACAGGCCAGTGAGGGCATGGCAGCAACATGGTGGGGGTGGAGAGGCTATTTGAGCCCCTGCGTTCTGCTCCCCTCGCCTCCTCCTACAGAGTAGAGGAGTGCTTGGAGAAGGGTGTTCCGGGGTGACCACTGGCGTGGCTTTGGAGCGCCCAGGGGCCCCCGCAAGTGTGCAGACCCTTGCTCTGGGCCCCCGCGTCCCAGAACACCCGGGCCAAGGCCACTTTGTGCGTTGGAGGGTCGTGAGTCCCTGATGCAGGGAGGGAGGGGACCCCGCCTGCCCCCACCTTCTCCATCTGCTGCTGGGGTTTCTCCCTCCGCATATGGCCGTACCCCCACCGCACACCAAAGGGCTTTTCGGCCGGTTTGTCGTCAGTTCCCTTGGCCCGTTGGGATGGAAAGACGGCCTGGTTTGGCAGTTGCTGGCAGGGAGGATTTTGGGGCGGCCAGGAGGATCCGCGTGTGCTTTAAGAGAAACCGGGTTTGGGTGGAAAGGAAGCCGGGCAGCCTCCCGGGAAGGAGCCGGCCGCCTCCGCTTCCTCCCCCGTCCTGCTGAGGGCAGGCTCGGCAGCACAGTGCCAGGGGGCAGCCCGGCCAGCGCCCACATCGCCGCTGGGCCGGAGATGAAGTAAAGACCCCCTCTGACTTGCCCTTGATGCGAGCAGAGCAAACCCGCTGCGGTGACGAGTGGGTCCTCGACACGCACTTGGCTTTGGGCCCAGGGCGCCCCTCCCACCTGCCCATTTCACAGATGCGGAGATGGGCCGAGAGGTGGCTGAGCTTCATCAGGGATGCGTCCCTGGCCTCTCTGGTGCTCACCCTGCTGTGGCCTAGTAAGGCCGACCAGTGCCCTCCCCCTGCTGTTGATGGCTTCAGTCCCCTAACACCCACGCCAGATACCACTCCCATCAGGGTTCTCTTGTTTTGACCTCCTGGCCCCTGGGGCTGAGGTGGGCATGCTGAATAGCCCTGCTTACACAGGAAGAATCAGCACAGAGAGGTTAAGATCCTCATCCAAGGTCACACAGCCACCGAGGGGAGGAGTCAGGAGCTGAGTCCAGGCTTCTGATGTCTACACCTGGCCCTGGGGCTCTGGCCGCCCTAGACCCCTGGGCTGGGTGCCCCCCCCCGCCCCCCCGGCACCCCCCGCAGCATCCTCTGCCTGCAGCCTCCGGCAGCTGACTTGGCCCAGTCCCTCTGCGGGAGCGCGCGGCCCAGGTGCGGAGGTTCACCTGCCTCACTGTCCCCCACTCGCCCCCTGGGACCCGCAGCAGCAGCAGCAGCAGCAGCAGCAGCAGCAGCAGCAGCAGATGCCCCGGAGCGGCCAGGAGGAGAAGGAGGAGAAGGACAAGGACAAGGAGGCCGAGAAGGAGGAGGAGAAGCCCGACGTGGAGAACGACAAGGAGGAGCTGATCAAGTAAGGCCACCCAGTCGCCAGCCGCGGCCCCGGCCTCTGCCCGGGCGGTGGGGGGTGGTGTGCGCCCGGCCCGGGCCCCGTGGGCGGCCCCGTCTGTAGAAGCGCGTGAGGAGAGCGGTTTGGCATCTGTGTGGATTGCCTGCCGGGAAGGGAGGCGTCTTCTGCTCCGCCTGAACCTGACAGCCCCTCTTCTGGAAGCCTGCTCGTCTCTCCCTCCCCCTGTCTGCCCGCCCTTTCCTCCTCAAGCCCTCTGGAGACCTCGGAGACTGATAGCTCATTTGAGCTCTACTCCTGAGCTAATAAATCCAGGCAATGACTTTGGAGCTCTTTGCCTCCTCGTCTCCTCCCCCTCCTCCGCCAAGTCTCCCGAGGTGCCAGGCGGGGGAAGGGGGGATCAGAGGAGCAGGCGGAAGGACTAGGTATGCAGGCGGGCCCTGCCCTCACCTCTAGAATTATCGCTGTCAGTGTGAGTGCTTGCAGATCAAGGCGCAGCCTCCGGGGCCTGCCCGGGGCGGGTGCCGAGCACAGGCAGCTGGAGAGTCGCGCCAGGAAGGGGGGCGGGCACGGCCTCGTGCCAGGTACCTGGAGTGGGCTCAGGAATGTGGCTTCGGAGAACATCTGGCTTCGCCGCACTCTGTCTCCCAGACATCCAGGGAGGGCCTTCTGGAAGATTAATGGGCATGGAGGAGATCTAAGCCCCCTGAGTCGGCTTCTGAGAAAGCCCCAGCCCTGGGTGCCGAGGTCACATGCAGCCCCCACACCTGGCCTGGCCCGCAGAGGCCCGGCGGGAGACTGTGTATTCTGCAAGGCACAGTGACCCGCGACGATACCGCGAGCAAGCAAAGCCGCTGTGGGTCCTTGAGCCCTGCCAAGAGCAACTCCGCTTCGCAGAGTCAAGTGGCCCCGTAGGTCGGGCCCGTTTCCCCCTTGTGGTTGAGCCAGTAGGTCTGCAGGCAGGTCAGGCAGGGGGCAGAGAGCACCCATTCGGCGTGTGAGATGGTCCTGCGGGTGCGCACCGGTCTGTGCCCACAGAGCCATCCGGTTACGTACCAGCTCACTCCCCTCACCCGGAGAGTAAGACTGTGACAGCTGCCGGCTCGCGCGTCCGTTTGCATGAGCACTGGGGCGCCGCAGAGAGCTGGGGGCACAGCCCCTCGTCCTGTGAATGAAGAAGGCTTGCTGCTCGCCACCCCCGGCCCCCGAGCTTTCTAGCATCCGAGTAACACAGACTCCCTGGCAGCCTGCGCCCATCAAGCTAAAGAAAAGCAGGTCTCTTGCAGCTGTCGTCTGGTCTCCCGGCTCAGGCCAAGTGTCTCCCTCTCTGGCCTTTAGGGAGAAGACGGACGACACCTCTGGGGAGGACAACGATGAGAAGGAGGCCGTGGCCTCTAAAGGCCGAAAAACTGCCAATAGCCAGGGAAGACGCAAAGGCCGCATCACCCGCTCGATGGCCAACGAGGCCAACAGCGAGGAGGCCGTCACCCTGCAGCAGGGCGCCGAGCTTGGTGAGGTGCAGGCCGGGGAGGATGGAGGGCCCCGGAGCCCGGCTCTGGCTTCTGAGCTCACTGTGTGGCCTGGGGCGAACCCCTAAGCCTCTCTGTGCTCCGGAGTTCTCATCTGCACATGCACTTGTCCTTTAGGGGCCGGGTGTGGAGGAGCCCACGACTGCTGGTGGGGCTGGGAAGGTGCCCGTCGGTCCCCCTGACCCTGGGCTGGGGCGGCTCACGTGAAAGTCCAGATCGCCAGTTCAGGTCCTATTTCTTAGTCAGAAAACCTGGCCGCACTTGGCCCCCATTTCCATCAAGTAGCAGGTGTCGCTGCGTGGCTGCAACCCCTTTTTAGAAAGACCTGGGCACAGACTGTCCCCACCCCACCCCCCAAGCCCTGGTAGCACCTGGGTTCAAACTTCCTTTCTGTGGGCCTCAGTTTCTCCTGCTCTGTGGGTCCGAGCCTCACTCCCCACCCCAAGTTGGGGGTGGGGGCAGGAGAGACAAATTGAGTAGCAGTTCTCAAGTTCAGCCACAGGGGGGCAGTCAGCATGTGTCCTTCATCTCTGGGCTGTTTTGGCCGTTGGGGGGCTCGCCCTCCCGCCGCCGGGAGGCTCAGGCCCCAGCCACCAGGACACCTTCCTAGGGTGGGAGTTGATGGAGGTGACGTTTCATTTGTCACGGATGCCCCCAGCCCACACTCAGGGTCTGTGCCAGACGCCTGTGCCTTCTTCCTGAGGGAGGTAATTCGTACCTATTTCACAGATGGGCTGTTTGAGGCTTAGAGGAAGGATGTCGCCTCCCTAGTCACGGAATCAGCTGGGATTCAGACCCAGCCCTGTTGACCACAAACTTCACATGACCCCTGTAGGGGCTCTGCCTGGTGACCAGAGCAGCCGGCTACCCCTTGTGCCTGGAGGCCGAGAGCAGCAGGCTCCCCTTCGCGGTGCGGCTGTGGCCTAATTTCTGGGAGGCTCTTCTGGGCCCTCCAGCTGTCAGTCCAGCACCCGCACCCTTAGCCCAGACTTCACAGCGTCCCTGTGAGGGTCCCTGGGAAGGAAGGGATTGCAGGCATGGTGGCAGGGAGCGGGTGGGGGCCGTCTCCCCTCTCCTGGCTTGAGCAGCTCCTCATTCGCCTCCTGCCGGAACTTCCCTCCACTGGTCTCCTCCACCAAGTGCACACTCTGGACCTGGTGCTGTTCCAGGCCCTGCGTCCATGAAGCTGCTCCCTCACGTCTGCCCCCTTCAGGACACCTTAGGCAATTTGCAGGGAAAGACCTGGGCATCTGTCTTGGGGAGCTTGGAGGAGAGACCCCAAAATGCTGCCACAGCAGAGGCCTGGCCAAGTCTGCCTGGTGACCAGGGCAGCTGGTCCCGTGGAGAGCCCCACCCTTGCGTGGGGGGAGCGTTGGGGGGGGGGGATATAGCGCTCCCCCCCGCAGAGAACGCGCTCAGCCAGGGACCTTTTAAACCCCAGGAGGCAACCAGCCGTGTCTGAAAATGGTTTTGATTGTCATAGAGTGGGGACAGCGGGCACCTAGTGGGTTTAGACCAGGGGCTTCACAGCAGAGACGCATCTGGCCCCCGGTCATTCCGTGCTCAGACGAGGCTTCTGCCCACCTGGAGCTCACGTTCCTGGTCCTGGTGCCCCTCACGTGGTTGCCGCGCTTTCGGTGGGGGGGAGGGGGAGGGGCGGCTTCCCAAGGTGCACATGTGGCTCTCACCACGCAGGCCCCGGCCCATCTCCGTCTGAGTTCCTGCCTGTAAAACGGGCTCGTTACAGCGCCCCAACCCCAGCGGGCTGTGTGGGGGCCGATTCCCCCTCAGGGCCGCTGCCAACGTGCCCGCCTTCCTTTCCAGCTTCGATGGAGATGAATGAGAGCTCGCGCTGGACAGAAGAGGAGATGGAGACCGCCAAGAAAGGTGAGGCCTCTGGGACTCTAATGCGCTCGCCTCCTGCCCGGGTCCCGGAGCGCACATGCCGGGGAGTGGGCGACACAGCGGGCCTCGAGGGGGCTCCCGGTGGTCGTGTCTCCCGGGACCTGTTTTGCCAGAGAGGGGTCTGCGTGGCTGCGTCGCCAGGCTCCACAGGGGTCCCCAGGGCGGTCGAGACCCAGCTCAGAAACCTGCAGTTGACGCTGTGCACGTGGGCAGCGGGCGGCCTCTGTCACCTCCGGGCTCCGCCCACTGGGGCCCCCCCCCGAAGCAGGCGGCAGCACTCCCAGGTGTCTCAGAGGGGAGGGAGGGACAGCTTGCCGGGAGCCAGCACGGTGGGGTCACAGGGCCAAGCTGTACCCCTGCCCCGGCAGCGTTCTCTGGGAGGCAGGGCTGGAGGGGGCTGGGGCCGTGTGCTGTGGTGCTGAACTTACCTCCTGCCTTAAAAGTCAGCTGTGTGTTTGGTGGAGCCAGAATCACTGTGTGCTTCACTTCCTGGCTCTGTGATCTAGCTCTGTGTCTCAGTTTCCCCATCTGTGAAATGGGAGAGAGGCATCCAGATTGACCGTGGGGAGCTAGAGATCGTAGGCACTGAGGGTCCTGAGGGTGGGCCGTGCAGTGACCCTACCTGGGCTGCATCGTGGGGATTCTCCTGTTTCTGGACGTGCCTCACCTCTCTCCGTGTGCAGTTTCCTCCTCCCCTGCCCGTGCCCAGGGCTGACAGGAAAGCTGAGGCGCCTGACCCCCACGCACCTGTCTGCTCTCACTTGCTTGATCTCAGCCCCAAGAGGTGGCTCTCGTGTCTGTCCCGGTTCACAGAGGACGAGGTGAGGGGTGAGGCCAGGATGGCCAGGGTCCTGGAGCTGGTGTGTGGAGGGGCTGGGAGCAGGCCTGGGCCTCTGGCCCCGCCAAGGCCACTGACCTGCCGCTTCTAGCACCCAGAGCTCCAGGACGTGACTCACAGGGGGAACAGATGGCCTTTCTAGCGAGGGCCCTGGGCGCCCGGGCAGGCGAGTCTGAGGACAGTGTGGCCTCCAGGCAGAGCCGGAATGGAGACCGAGACCTGTCTGCCCCGCCCCCACCCTCCAGCCCAGGCAGGGGCCCTGAGTGCGCCACCCTGGGGTTTCAGGATCCCACCAGGAGCAGGGGCCTCCCCCCCCACACACACCCCTGCCCCTCTGAGGCCCCTGCCCTCTTCTTCCAAACTCCCAGCCCTCTGGTGAGGGAGGCCCTCAGACCCCCAGGAGAGGAGCTGTCCTGGATGATGAGAGGTTTTCGGAGGGTCAGAGCAGTGTGCGTGGGGGCATCTCTAGCTTCAGGGCACAGGGGTGCTGTCAGCCCCATGGTGGGGCACACTGTTGTTTTTGTCTGTCCCCTGTCCACTTTGGTTCTAGTGCGGACTGCACCACTGGGTGCAAAGGAGACTTTACTTTTACTGAGATTGTGTAGGGTGTTTTTTTTCCCCTCCTTCTCCTTTAATTTTGGTAAAATACGCTGACATAAAATTCACTATTTGGACTGTTGAACAGCGTACAAGTCGGTGGCACGAAGTACATTCACAGTGTTGTGCAGTCGTCATCTCTGGTTCCAGAACGGTCTGTCGCCCCACACGAAGCCCCATGCCCACAAGTGGCACGCCAGGCCCCTGAGGCCTGCCCCCTCGGGCCTCCACTAATCTTCCCGGGTCTGGGTTTGACTGCTCCGGGCTTTCAGCGGAAGGCACTCCTGCAGGACGCACTCTTCCGTGTCTTCTGTCGCCCGCATCGTGTTTTTGAGGTGCAGCCGCACCGTGGCGTGTGGGCCTTGTTCACGGCTGAGCTCTCAGCCGCGCCGACGGGCCACATACTGTGATGCATTCCTTCACTGTTGGCCGATGGTCATGTGGGTTGTTTCCACCTTTTGGCTGCTGTGACCAGACTGCCAGGAGCATTTGTGAATTGCACAGGAGACCCACCCGTCTCTGATACGCCCCCCAGCACCCTCTGCACCCTCCGGGAGCGAGGGCTCCCTGTGCATGCCCCCAGCCTGCCAGCCCACCCCCCACAGCGTCTCCTGTCACCGCGGCAGCTCCGTCCCTGGCTCCCTCCCGGTTGCCTGGGAACCGGAAGTCTGCCAAGTGGGCGGCCGTCCTCTCCGCCTCCGGGAAGGGCAGAGCTGGGGAAAGGGAGGTCGGCGGGGATGACTCACTGCCCAGACGGGAGTGCGCCCCACTGGCTCAAGGTTGGGGCCTCGCAGCGGCAGTGAGCTCATCCTCGGTCCTGCCCACGGAGACGGCACACGAGAACCCCCTGGGGACTGTGCACGCCGAGGCCCTGCTCAGTGACATTTGTGTTAATGTGATGAGCGCCGGCGTGCCCGTGTGCCGTGAATTACCGCAATCTGGACAATTACTGCTCAGGGTAGCTGCTAATGGCCATGTGCTCCCGAGGGCGGTGGGCAGGGGCGGGGCGGGGAGGCAGGTGCCAGCGTCCCCGGTGACTTTTTCTTGGCAGTGCGCAGGAGGAGGGGCAGGGGCAGGAGGCTAGGAATGTTGTGGAGCCCCCCTCCGCCCTGTCCAGCCCTCAGAAACACAGGAAGGGACCCAAAAAACAGCTGTGCCCTAGGCAGATGGCATGCACTCATTCCTGCCCATCCTTCCGTCGACCCTGTGTCTCCCCCAGCGCAGGGCAGGGGTACCCGTACAAAGCACCTGGACCCTTCCCCGGGAGCCCCTGCCTGCCCAGAGCATCCCAGAAGACTGCCAGCAGCCTGGCCTTGAAGCTTGAGCTGCACAGGGCCCCCTGGCCCAGGGAGAAACTAGACCTTCCGGCTCTCAGGCAAGTCCACGCACCTCTCTGTGCCTTAGTTTCCTTGTCAGCATAGTGAGAATTAGCGTACCGCTCACCATGTGCATTCCCAGAGCTGCCGCGACAATTTAGAAACATGGGGACTTAAAACCATGGAGGCGCACCCTCTCGCAGCTCTGGGGGCCAGAGGCGGACGTTGAAGGAGGACCGTGCTCCCTCGCAGGGCCCAGGGGGTCCCTGCCCCCGTCCCTGGCGTTCCTTGGCTCATGGGCACATTGCTCCTGCCTCTGCCTCCATCTTCACGCGGCCATCTTCCACGTAGTCCAGGAAGATCTCGTCTTCATTTGGTCGTATCTGTAAAGTCTTACCAGTAAGGTCACCTTGAAAGGTGACAGGTGGATACGAAATTTGTAGAGAACACTGTTCAATCCAGCACTGTGCCCAGTGTGGTTCTGGTGGGGAAACATACACACACACACAGACACACACACACACACACACACACACACACACACACACACACACACACACTGACGATGGGTGGTGAGGTCTCAGGCAGGTTGAGCTCCCCGTCACCATTTGTAACTCTGACAGCCCCTCCGCCAGGTGCCTCTGGCCTGGCCCGTCCCTGTTGTGGCCTCATTCCTCCTGTGCTGTATGGCCTAGGATGCCATTTCCTAAGGGGATCTCAAGGGGGGACATGAACCGAATATGTACGGTTCTTGGTATACAAGTAGTATACAGTAGGTGCTCAGAGATGGTATGACTGCAGTTCGACGCAAAGATTTTGGAGCCTTTCTTGCTGAAAGGCCTAGCTCTGCGCCATAAGGTGTGTGGCCAAGGGGCCATGGTCCTTATGTGCACATCTGGGAAGTGGCCTGGAGGGGAGTGACCTAAGTGAGCAGGTGTAGAGTGGGAGGAGGTCCCACCGGGCCAGAGAGGGTTCCCCAGACACAGGGGCCCTTGGGCTGGCACCCAGAGTGTGACGTGATATCGAGCAGCACGTTAAGTACTTTTTGGTATTCCTGGGTGCGAGGAGTGGCTAAAGGCTTTACCTGTATTAAGTCATGTCATCTCTACCAATTTTATGAAGCAGATGCTGTTATTCTTTTATTCAGATTTGGAAACTGAGGCTCAGAGACGCAAAGTGAGCTGCTCAAGGCCACACAGCAATTAAGTGGTAGAAGCTGGGAGTTGAACCCAGATACTCGTAATGGAGTGGGAATGGGGCTGGTGTCGGGTTTGAATGAGTGAGTCCATGGACTAGGCTACTGTTCATCAGATAGGGAGGGAAGAGCATCCCAGCAGAAGGAACAGCATGTGCAGAGGCCCTGTGGCAGAGGCAGTGTGGTCCAGTAAGAAGTTGTTGAAACGCAGAGTGACTCGGGGAAAGAGGCCAGAGATGGAGAGGCTACTGAGATCCTGGCCTTCCCAGCTGTGGAAGAGAGTTGAGTTGGGCCATTTTTCTAAGAGCATGGGGAGGGGGCGGCGCAGGGGACACGATGGCTGCAGGGTTCAGGGTGGGCAGGTGGGCACCTTCTCATCTTGTGTGCGTGCAGCCGGGGCTGCCTGCCCTGGAGTCACAGGGAGTCGGCCTTGAGCATGTGCAGGAAGCGGCCTCCCCAGGAACTGGGCAGCTCCCGGGCGCTGGCTGCCTGCCCCCAGGCTCTGGGCCATGCTGGGCGGGAGGCTCAGGCGAGCGCTGGGCGGGGGTGGGAGGCTCTGGTTCCCCTGGGAAAGGTCAGCCTGGCCTGGCTCAGAGTCCTGACCCAGCTGTGCGGGAGGCCCAGGGCCCTGCTGGCAGCGGCACATGCTGGTCCCCGGATGCCAGCCAGGGAGGGGGCGGGGAAGCCCCTGGTCACAGCGCTGCACGCCAGCAGCAGGGCCGGCCCAGCTCCACGCTGCCACCTCCCTGGCCCCGAGTGGCCTGCCTGGCCAGGGGAGGCCGGCAAGGTGAGTGGCTCAGGGTAGAGCTGCTGTGGGGCCAGGCACTGGTGGCCCCGGTGAGCCCCGGCGGCCCGGTGGAGCTGAGGCAGGCCCCCGGAACTCTCAGCAGCTCTGGGCCAGCACTGCCTCAGCCCCCCGCCTCCCCACTTTCATGGAGAGTGAAGGAGAAACCACTAATTGCTTTGCACCCAAAGTGCTTGCTGTGCACGCTGGCTGCTTTAATTAGTTTTTACGGATGAAGAGTCTAAGGTTCAG